GAAAAACATATGTCATGAAGCTGTAATTTCAAAATAACTAGTTTTATGTGTCTACCTCCATAAAACAACTGATGTTTCAGCGCTAAGTAGGAATCTCAGGTTTCTTGAAATTTTTTTCTCAAAATAGCTATTGTAAATGATCCACTAAATATAACTACTGGAAAAAATATATATATTGCCTACTCACATTGACAAGCACAACTTTTGTTTAGTAAGGAGCCATGTTGATTAATTATTATGACTAATATTTTTGGAAATCAAATTGTTTAAGTGAATCATTGGGTTCTTTGCTTGTAAAATTCTGAGACAGATGAAATTCCTACTCTGCCCTTTGGTTTTCTTATTTCCCTATAAATGATTGTGTGATAGATAATGAATCTCAGCCTTCTGTAAATTTGATGTGATTTTATGTAGTAATGATTCCTTTTGACATTTCTAGTTCTGTTGAGTCTCAGGATCATTTACATTTGTTTTCTAAAAATCCATAAATTATTTTTAGTTACATGCATTTCATCTACAATTCCATACTTTTTAATGTACCTTTTTATACATATCACAAATTTCAGATTTCCATCTCTGCTTATAAATATCTTTAACTCCTTAAACTGGAGCGCATTACACAAATACTGTATGTACAAATATAAACAGATATGGTATCTATCAACATTTTGCTTCCAAACACTATGCTTAGTATACTTTAGGGGTCAGAAGCACTTGAATGCAAATCACAATAAAAACATATAAAATAAGTTCCAAAGTTTGTGTGTGTGTATCTGGGTGTTTTCTTCTAGGAGCTGAATATATTTAATAACTTAAACGGAATTAGCTTGCAAGTTTTTAAGTGCAATAATTTAATGATGTGTTTGTTTTAACGTGTAACTCCAGTTATAAGATTAATGTATAAAAGTATACTTGAAAAATGCTGGCCTTTAGTTTTATTTGTCAAAAGATTGTAATTCTTTTGTGTGTTCTTTTTTTTCTTTGTTTTTGGTGTTTAAGGAGAGCCTGAGGAGGAAGCTATGTCTTAGCTATGTCTTTTTTTCTTTGCTCATGCAATTATCCAGGGGGATACAATGGCCACAGATCTGTAGAGTGCTGAGCCATCAGTATTTTTGTCTTTTATGCAATTACATAAGTTCACATAACAGAAGCTCCCACAGAATTAGTGAGCTTCTGCGAAAGTGCATGATTCACTATACAGAATCGTGTATTAAATTTGAAGCTGCTCTGCCCTTCATCCTGGATTTGTCATTCTTGTTCGTTGGATAATCTAGGGCAGCTCATAACTTGTGTTTGCTGGAACATTCACAGCTCTGTTAAGGATCTGCTTTTGTGGATGCTTTAGATACTATCTGAACATTTTATAGCCTAAATCTTCTAGATTTGCAAGATTAAAGTAACTTATGATTTAATACTTATATGTATTTTTCACTGATGCTATTAACTTCATTTTTATGATCGTGAATATGCATTTAAATAGCATAGCCTAAATTTTCAGAATTTCTTCTCTTCTAATACAGTGTCTATTGATTCTCATTCTTATCACAAGGCTCACAGTTTACCAAAACTACATTTTAGTATCAAAGTGTACACTGCTCTCATATTTGTTAATATAAAGTGTAAACAAGACCACAGTTAAGGAAGATTAATCACTACTCCGCCCCCCTCCCCACATTTGACTTTTATGTTCTTGTGATGATTCCCGTTTATTGCAGCATAAAAATCTTACCTTGTCATGTGACATATAAAGCCATTCATTGTCTGGACTTTATCTTCCTTTCTCTCTTATCTTTGCCAACTTCTGCCTTTTATTAGAATCTAAATATGACTAAACTGCATATGTTTTCCCAAGATTTCCATCATATTTCCTGTTTGCTGATCCATTTTGATCCCACTGGAATGTCTTTTGCTTTTCAGTTAATTTTCTGCCTCAATTGTCAGATGTCACATCCAGGATCTTTACTTCACTGCTTAGCCTGAGTCAAGTGTCTTTTCTCTATTCTCCTTTGCCACATTATGTTAAATTCATCCTAAGTGTCTCTAATATATAGACTTCATGTAGATGGGGATGATTCCTTATTTATTCTGGTATAATCCTACACTGAGTGGCTACCTAATACATGACTCCGAATTGAAATGAATTGACTGGTTGTGAGACATCAGTCAACTAATGCCTTTGAACATGTGGACGAAATAAAAATACTGTTACAAACCCATAATTAATCAAAATGTTCTACTAATTGTCTGGTAAACTGAAGTTAACTAAACAACTCATTGCTTTGGTATTCTTAATAGAATATTTCTAAAATACATACAGTTCATTTGGATATTCTAGTGTACATGTATTATGGAGCTAATAGTACCTTTCTGATGAATTTATTGGTAATGTTCTGTCATTCAGTATATTCATGTCTACACAACTTTGATTACATGCTGGCTTGAATTGTTTGTTTTGTTCTTAGCAGCAGATTGCAAGATATTGAAAGGAATAAAATTTGTCCTATGTTAATCCTTCATTTAGTCAGCAGTCTTAGTCAAGAATGGATCACTACAATGTCCATATTTTAAAGAAGAGAAGTAAGAGAGAAAAAAACCGGCATGTCTTATGAGCAAATGATTGGAACAAAATCATAAGAGTTATATCTTATCAAGATTACTGCTCTGCCCATATTCAACAGGAAGGGATTATATGGGATCCATTCACCAGGAGGGTGGGAATCGTGGCAACCATGTTAGAATCTTTCCTTGTGGGGGGGAGGGTGGCTCAGTTGGTTAAGTGACCAACTTCTGCTCAGGTCATGCTCTCAGAGCTCATGAGTTCAAGTCCCGCATCGGGCTCTGTGCTGACAGCTCTGAGCCTGGATCCTTCTTCGGATTCTGGGCCTCCCTCTCTCTCTGTCCCCCTGCCCCCATCCCACTCATGCTTTGTCTTTCTGTCTCTCAAAAATAAACATTAAAAAATAATTTTAGAATCCTTCCTACCTCACTTTTCATAAAACTTTATCATTATTATAGATTATATAGGAGATGAAACCAAGTTTTTATTCCACTTAGGTTTAAAAAAATAGCTATTCATTTTAAATTATGCCTGCCCTACTACATTTTTGTGATTGTCAGATTTCTCTCAAATTTTATATCTCACACATAAATTCCATTATTTATTTATTTATTTTAATTTACAAAGTTCTTACAATTCCAATTATTTGGATTTTCTGCAAAGAAACTGAAGGTACTAGTGACTTTGGTGACATTAATTTAATGTTGAAAAGGAGGTAGAGTTTCTTCTACTCACTATTTCTTTCAAAAGGCAAAATCACCTGAGAAATATTTAATTGTCAATTTAAAATATCATTCTTACCAAACATCTGAGCTTTCAGTAGGTAGAATGTTTTATTAAATCACCTGATTCATTAATAAAATTTCACCGTCCTGACAGTCTTTTTTTATGTCCTATTCTCAAATAATGCAATTCTTTTCAAGTACTTTAAATGGCTCTGAAGCTAATAATCATGTGGAATGCCCTCCTTTTTTAACACAAAGAAGTATTTTAAAATGAACAACACAGGTCAGGCATACTTAAATCTTTTGCTGTACAGTTATGTTTTCTAACTCTAAAGCAAATGTAGCCATTTTATTTATTTTGTTATAGCAACTGAGTATTTGTAGTGTTCTGATGTCTGATTTCAAAGTCAAATGGAAACTTAGTGAACATTTCAGATTAGAACCTCTATATTTGTTATTAATTCTATAAGTAGTTTTATTTTTATTTCCTTTCCCCAGAAATCTTCAAGAGGTATGGAGTGACAACATATAAAATGCAAAGCATTATTCAAGTGTTCACCTTAGGAGAAAAGAATCCCTTTAAAATTTGAATTACAATAATTTTAGCTCAAATATTGCAAAGAGTACATACACAAACACTACATTCTACAGTTCAGAAAGAGCAGCCAGTAATGTCTGCATGGGACTGGGAATACCATTTTGCTGGAGAATTCCTTCTTAAAAAAAAAAAAAAAAAAAAGGAAGCTGGATGGTCATAAAGACATTTTCTGACACCAGGTACACAGTTGGCCTGGGTCCTACTGATGTTTAATGCAAGCATCAGTCGTTTTAGACCTACCTGGAATTTGATGGTACTACATATGTTAAATTTAGTTCATTAACTATGACTTATGGACTAGATAGTCTGAGCACATGGACTAGGTATTCTTAACATTAACTTAGTGCTAACTTTTGTCTGTTTAGCCAAACTTTGTGGGGAAGATTTAGATTGTCGAGGTGTGTGACTAGATATATTGAATAAGCTTACAATTATTAACACCAGCACTGTAAGCCAGTACTATAAGCCATCACTGTATTAATGCCTTACATTTTATAGGTAAGGACTATAATATAACAAAAGATCATTTAGCTACTGTTAGAGATGGAAGTTGAGCCCTGAATCATCCCCTCTCTACAAATGTTCCTGGACCTACTACAATTAGCACATTGGTGAGAAGCAACAAGTAAGTGAAAATACAGAGATCACATTATTATTCCAGTTACCAGAATCAGTTTTGAAACAAATATTCCCTACAGGGATTAACTTTCCTTCAGGAAAAGAAGCAGCATCAGGCATCATGGGGACCATATAACTTTTCCCAACTAAAACAGAATGAGGATCACACCAGGTTTTCCTTCAGCTGAATCAGAAAAGCTCTCTGAATCTTGCAAAGACTTTTACCTTCAGGGAGGAAAAGAGCCATGTGTTTGGTTTGTTCTGAGTTACTTATCCAATGTTGGATCTTACTTTTTGGAGTTTCATTCAACCAGGTTGGAGCTGCTTACCAACTTTTTCACAGCTTCAATCCATATTAGGATTGCCTGAAATAATATTCCAATATTATTTGGAGAAGTCAAGTGTGGTGCTGTGTTGTATTACCCCCTTTGGATATTTAATAGTCCTAACAGACCCTCTAGAGTATATTCATGCATAGATTTCATTTAAATGTAAAACATACGGAACATCAATAGAAGTAGAATTCAGGCAACCATCAGAGTTCTGAGAGACAGTCTTTGTGCACTTGAGATTCAGAGTCTCTGGCTACACTGCCAAGTTTGTATGAGGCATCTTAGCTTCAAAGGAGCAGCCTAGGGAAAAAAAAAAAATTTTAGGTAGTTCCTCACATGGTGGAGCCAGCCTCCTCAAACTGTTTGAACCAGTTGAGCGCTCTGTAAAGAAGCTAATCATGTATAGGACAAGATCACTAGGACAATTTTGGGCTTTATACAGCACATCATAAAACCTATTCCCTTTATCTGAGACAAGGGTCAAAAAGCTAGGCATCTCTAGATATAAAGATAGACCTTTACCATTCCAGCTATAAATCTGCTCTTCTTGTGTCCCCAGCCCTGAAAATATTTGTTAAATCCCATTAGTTAAGGTTGGGCTGTATCTGAGGTTGTGTAAATTTAATAACCTCTGCATTTAAGACCTTTGAATACTAGACTGAATTTGAAAAACCTTGGGTCACACTGTTAACAAAGGTACATAGACATGGGAATAGTGCTTGTCTATTTGATGGGCCTAATTGGTATTTTCTCATTTCTTAAACATGAATCACACATGTGTGCTCTATGGTGACTCTAAAATGCAATATGTAGGCCCTAGATCTGATAAACCTACCAGATATTTATATGATCCTAAGTAAGTCTTAGGATTAGGAATAATGTTTTTAAACACATAATGGAAAAAAAAAAAATTTGAATCCCTAAATGTTATATCTGAAAGTAATATTACACTGTTTGTTAACTAACTGGAATTTAAATTTTAAAATAAGATGGAAAATACATTTGTCTAAAATGCTGAATCTCTTCTTCCACTACCCAAGTAAAATTCCAGAATTAAGCTCAAATATTTAACATGCACTCAACTTGTTGCTTTGTGTAGATTATTCTTGCATTCTCAACTTTAATTTAAATCTAATAATAATGAAATTCTCATGTGGTCATGTTGACCAAAAACAAGCACAAATCTAAAATTCAACAGTAAATATTCAAAAGCTGAATATATTTGAAAAAGTTAAAAATATTGAATATTCAAAATATTCAAAATACCTTTCCCAAAATGTGACGTTAATCATACCAGGTCAAAACAGATAGTAATCTCATTGCTACTTGAATAGAAGTTAATTATATATCAGTCTTCACAACTAATAATAGGCTGACATACACTTAAATTGGAATTCACAAACATTGGAGAAAGTAGTTACAAATATGGAAAGGGAGAGAACTAGAATATAGTCCAGTGTGTGATACACATTGAAGGGATCTGCACAAACTTGTAGGCTGTAATAGAATTGCTAGATATAGATATAGAAGCAGATTAGATGTTTGTGTGTACGTTTTCTAGCTCTATCTGCCTAGAGCACTTGGAAGTGAAGAAATACTGATACATTGAACCTACCTAGCCCACAAATCTTGTTTTCTAATATACCGTTTTCTAGTGTTCCTTGGAGAATGATTGATATGAAATATGCACACAAATACAGATTCATTTTTAAAAGGAAAAAATAAAGGATCAGAGAGGTTTTATTACTTACACAAAGTCACAAGCAAATAAGTGTCAAGAGCACAGATTTCTGGTTCAAAGAGAAACATTACATCAGGCTGTTTGGGTTAAGATCCCAATATCTTGGGGCACCTGGATGGGTCAGTCAGTTAAGTGTCCAACTTCAATTCAGGTCATAATCTTGCAGTCTGTAGTTCAAGCCCTGTGTCTGGCTCTGTGCTAGTAGCTAGACCCTGGAAATGTTTTGGATTCTGTGTCTCCCTTTCTCTCTGCCCCTCCAACAATGATGCTCTTTCTCTCCTCTCTCTCAAAAATAAATAAACATTACAAAAAATTAAAAAAAGATTCCAACATCCTTCAGCTACTAGATTTGTGACCTTGGGCAAGGCTGTCAACCACTAGACCTTAATTAACATCCTGGGAATTAAATCTATATAATAATAGTAATATGTACTTCACAATAGGGTTGTGGTGAGGAGCTAAATGAGACAATGTACAAAAAACACTATTTGCTGTAATTACTATATGTGTTTACTTTCTATTGATATCATAGTTTTTTATCACAATGACTTTTTATTATAGGCAACCATGTCTATCTGGCTTCATAATTATGTACTTTTGGAAGAAAGACACAGAACTGAAGCAAGTCTATTACTGATGATGAAAACTATGTCAGAATATGGATTTTAAAACTTCATGGTATATTTGTAAGAAAGTGAGGAAAGTGGTCTAAATAGTACAGAATATAAGGGTACCTGAGTGGCTCAGTTGGTTAAGTGTCTTTAGCTCAGGTCATGATCTCATGGTTTGTGAGTTCAAACCCCATGTCAGGCTCTGTGCTGACAGCTTAGAGGTTGGGGCCTATGTCAGATTCTGTGTCTCTCTATTCCTCCCCTGCCTGTGGTCTGTTTCTCAAAAATAAACAAACATTATTTTTTTTAAATAGTACAGGATATAGAGATCGGACAAGAGTGGGAAGCATGGTTTGACAGAGATGTCAGGACCACATTCTACTGATCTGAGATTGAAATGCATATGACATTTTTTCCATTATTTTTTGAGTAAAATGGATGCACAATGTTAAATTAGTTTCAGTCATAAAACATAGTGACTACGTATGACTTTTCTTTGAAAGAACACTTTTGAGGGAATTTGGCTTTGCATCAGTATGCAATTTATTTTGGTGTAGGAGGGACAAAGAAATTGTCATTATGCTGCATATGGATAAAGGATAGTAACTGAATGGTTAATATGCTTAAACTGCATTGGAAAAAATCATAAATTCAAAATAATTGGAGATGAATTCAAATATAAAATAGGAAATTTCATAATTGTAAGTTACATAAATTTAATTGATTCTAGCTTTATGTAGTAACTTAAATTTGTCTAATAAATGATTTCACAAAGACACTCTGTAGGGAATGATTTAATTGATACATATCTAATTTGTAATTATTAGAAATCTATTGTTTCATAAAAATAATATAAATAATTGATGTGCTAAAATTATTATGTTTCTCCTACTACGTATGTTTAATTGTTTCCTTTGGAATCTTCTTCCTGTTAATTTACTCAGATATTTCTTTTGGTGACAATGCAAGGAAAAGTCCACAAAAGCAAGCCAACTGATCAAAAATTGATGTAATTACTTTTTTTTTTTTAATGACAACACAATATTCATTTGTATTCTGGATTTCATCCTTTTTTCTCTTCATTTTCTGCTGGCACAATGCAAAGTCCAAAAATATTAGAGCAGGGGAAAAAGAAGAAGTAAAGGTTAGAAATAATGAGCAAAATGGACAATCAGTCCTAGATAATTGACAGTGAACTCCGTATCACTGAAAGTAAGGGGCAACATCATTATCCCTATATTTCTGTGAAAACATGTGTGGGTCACTAAGCAGTATTGCTACCCTTACTTATTAAAGCATAGACCACTGGAATCTAGAAGAGCATAGCTAACTTTGGGGGTTTAATGAAGGTTTAAATGGGAATGAAACTTGCCCAACCTTGCATGTGAAACTTTACTTGACCCAGAAGCACTGTTCTACATTCTGCGAAGTCCAGGAAAGGTAAAAGGAAGGGAAAGAATGCATTACTATCCATTAATTGGTCCATTAGTGGGTTTTATTTTTTCTTGCACTTCATATTATCATATTTCAATCTTTTTTACAATAGATGTAATGTCAAAGGCATTATTAATTAAAAATTACTGTAGTAGCCATATAACCCAAAAATGATCACCATAAAGTTAGGAGGGAAACCCTGAAAGGATGAGACATAGCTATTATAATACAAGCAGAGCCTACTTCCAAAACAGTCTTTTTTTCCCCCCACTGCAAACAAATACTGATTGACTAATATAGTTATTTCTAAGTATGACTCTGGTTCCTTAATGCTGAGACATCTATCATCTTTAACACTTTTGTGTCCTACTCTCCGATTTTCACTCTGGTGCCGTCCTCAGGAAATGAGGTGAACCAAATTCCACAGTTTCATCTATAAACATGAATACAATGTAAGAAAGAACAGATCTGCCAGAATTTTTCAGTCACTCTCACAACAACACATAAAAATAAGAACTTTAATCACCATTGATATTATCACCTGTGAGATATGTCTGTGTGCATTTCCAGCTAAGAAGACGTAAATTATAGAAAACACTAAGTCACTTCAGGTGGTCTTCTTCTTACCTTTAAGTATTTTCTTGTCATGTTTAATAAGAAACATTCAAAAAATCACCTGCACCGTGAAGATATTTTGAAAGAAGATCGTTAGAGATACAAAGGGGAATTTGCCTCAATCTGTGTTGAGCTACCGAGCCAAACAATAGAAATAATTTTGAAGTAGGGTTGAAAAATTCAATCTAGGAAAAATTAGTTGTGGTAATTTTGGCGGAAAAGTGAGATCAATTTCTACTTGTAAAGTTGAAATGAATATTTTGCTAGTTACCTAAAATCTTTTCCTGAGATCCAACTGTTTGTGGAAGATTCAGTTCAGTCCATAAGCCCCTCCCATTCCATTCTGTCCCACCCTGTCCTGCTCTACTCATTAATAAGTGATCCAAATGCTGGGCTATGCTTGGAAATACCAGAACAATGAATAAAATCTTCATTTAGAAGAACGATCTTGCCAAGGCAGCTAAAAAACAATAAAAGCTCCTAACAAAGCAGAACATTACAAAAAAAGTGGGATGAAAGCGATGCTGTTGTTAGCTACCTGTGTCAGGGGAACGCGGGGGTGGGTGGGTGTTTATCAGGAGCCATAAAAAACTTTGATAGGAAAGGAGGAACCAGAAACCTGATGGGCAAGTACATGTCAAAAAGAGAGACAAGGTAAAACTCTAGGCAGACTGGCTTTCATGCCAAAGATCTGTGACATGAGAAAGCAGGGCATATTAGGAACATTTAAATTTCTTGGCTGCAGGTTGGGATGTTTTCACATATATCATCTTATGTGTTTTTCAAAATAAACTCACCAGGCAGAAAGAGTGTGTTATGCCCGGGTCGCGAGACCCCAAAGAACACCAAGGAACCAATTCCGATGCAAACACAGGAGGGTCTTTTTTCAAGCTCCAGCAGGCACTCTAATGCACCCCAGCGATGGAGCCCTGAACTCAGGGTTGCAGGGCTTCTTACTGCGGTTACGGTGGGATTCGGGGGCTTTCCAGCGTGGCAGTCCCGGATAGGTTGATTTTTAGTATAGGCTGTCTTGTCAGTACCCGATTGGCTCGTCCCATATGGCCTGACCGCAAACTGCCAACAGGAACATCTTGGGACATAGGTGCCTCTTTTAAACTGATTGGCTGTTGCTGTTGCTAGGGAAGTAACTAAGGGCAGGCTACCTAAGTACTTCCTGCTGTTTTTACTGGGACTGGGTTCGAGCCTGGTTCGCCCTCAAGGTGGAGGCTTTTCCTAAAATGGAGTCAGTTAGATTTAGGTCTCACAGGTGTTCTCCACTTCCCACATTTTTCATGTAATAAAATAACTCCGGGAGGGATTTGAAAGTTATAGGGGTGCCTGGGTGGCTAAGTCGGTTAAGCATCTGACTTCGGCTCAGTTCATGATCTCATGGTTCATGGGTTTGAGCCCCACGTCGGGCTCTGTGATGACCACTTAGAGCCTGGAGCCTGCTTCAGATTCTGTCTCCCTCTCTCTCTGACCCTCCCCTACTCACGCTGCCTCTCTCTCTCAGAAATAAATGAAAACATTTAAAAAAAAGGAATTAAAAAAAGAAACAAAGAAAGTTATAAAACTCAGTGACAATAGTGAAGTTTGAATTCATTTTCTTCTATTACAATAAAACATGCAAACTTTGGTGATAAATACTGAGACATATAAATAAATAAAATAGTAATAAAAGCTTACACATAATGGTTATTTTATGCCAAGTGCTGATAAGAGCTTTCCACATGTTATTCAACTCATCTGAACCTCACCACCTATGAAGTGCTAGTATTATCACCACTTTGTGGATTAGGAAACCAAGGCCAGAGGGATACACTGTCACTAATTTCTTATGGCTGGTAATTGGGGGAACTAAGGCATGAATCCAGATGGTTTAGACCCAAATCCCACACTCTTAACTGCTCAGCCATTGTTTTTCTATTTTACTATATTGTCCTCTGCAAGAAGACAATGATTAGAAAGCAGTGTAAAATAATCACAATAAAGGAGGACAATTTTTGTGCAGATGTGATCTGTAAGATTTAGAGAAGAAAGCTGATAATTTTGGGCAAAAATATTTGAATTAAGCTAAAATATTTGAAAGAGAGAATTCATTGACAATCCTGATGCTGTGGTGCTTTGCTTAGATCTTGTTTCAGAATATAGGTACTCACTCTACTGTCCACACTGAGTGCTGCCTGCTACAGACTAGTGTCACCTCCTTCCTCAGAAATTGCCCATATCTGAAGGGAGCTGCCTCATCTGCAAGTATACCCACTTTGGAACCCACAAACAATGACTGATTGATGACACATATGGACAAGTTAAGGAACTCACCTAAGGTCACAAAGATCCAAATGGAGATTATGATCCCATACTTGTCTGATTCAATGTCCAAGACATTCTTTTTTTTTTTTTTTTTACCACATTTCCTCTTATATCTATACTTTACAGAGCAAAGTAGGTATTTTATAGGGACTGAACGATTTATGTGTCTACTTCATACCATCTTTAGAGCCCTATCATTTCAATGTGCCCTCATAAATAAGTTTACTTTAATATTTTTGCAATATAAAAAGCAAACTATTTGACATTGAAACATGGGATTACAAATGGTCTCCTGTATTATATATTAAATATATGTACATAAAAGTCAAATATATGTTGTAGCTTAAGAATATGTGCTTCCTACTATGGAATATAAAATACAGTAAATCTGTGTGTCCTAGAGATGAGACACATCATTCTTGTTGATTCTCAACATCTAAGCTGCACTTTGTAAATAGTAGGAATCAGTGGCATTGCAATCTAGGATTTTATGTGTCATTGGGTCTTTTATAGTTGCTGAAAGAGCTGGAATGTCTGTTATCTGATATACTGTGTGTAACAGAAAGTATATCAGTTGCACTTCAGCTGACTCTAATAGAAAATCTTTAGAATATTTCTATGTCTTTAAACTTAAGATTTTCTTCCAGAATTTTACCCATAGTTGATTCAAGACATTTCCATGTTATATTCAACAACAACTAGTTGAGCTCAATAAGGTAATAGAGTAATTGAAACCCCATGTGGTGTGTTTCTTGCTGACAGTATGAATTCTGACTTGAGGGCATATATCTCTTAAGCCACATGTTCTGATCAAAGTAGTATTCACTGGAATCATGATGGGAATCCCTGTTTATAGAATTGCTGCTTTGTGCAACATTTGCCTAGGTCAAAGAAGATTAAAAGAGCTAATGTCAGTGGGGGTTACCTTTCAAGGTCCATTTAAATAGAACTGTACATGTGGTAGTACTTTGCCCCTCCATCAAGGGCACTGAAGCACTGAGCTGAAAATCTATAGTTAGATGTATAAGTCGTAAAATAGCCAATCTCTCGGATTCTAGTTTGGCTTCTAAGGAACATCCTTTATCAACCAAGTAGTACAGTGAACATGACTTGTAAAATACTCATTAACTTCCCCTGGTATCAGTTAATTTTGGAAACTTAATCTGCAAGTCTCATATTTATCTGACATGTTTGTTATACTAAAAGGTGAATAAATAACAATCTCTCCAAATTCTTAAAACTTTTAAAATACTGTCTAATAATAAAAATTATGTTTCCAATCATGTCACATTTAGCTATATAACCTGAGAAGAAATTGCATGTCTCATTGTCCTTGGAATAAAATTATGTTGTTGAAAGCTTTACTTTTTTTTATTTGTAGAGATGATAAAACATACGTCTGCAGTATTATTGGTCTTTTAGACAAAACTTATATAAAGAATTATCCTTGCTTTAATACTGAGTTTTATTCTCGTGACTGCATATCCTCAGAGGAAGTACCATTATGACATAATTATACTGGTTAGAATTTCTTTATCAGCAATATTATAACCAAAACTCTCTCAACTTTTGGTGCTATTTCTAATAGATCCATCTATAGCTACCTTGGCTAGTCATTTCACCTATTCGGTTTAGGTTTAGATGTCAAATAAAGGGATTAAATTGGATACTTTACCAGGTTTCTTTCTTTTGAAAGATTTTAGAATTTAGCAACATAAATCTCTCTAATCATGTAATTGTCTAGCCTGTGGCTAAAAATGCCAACAAAATCTCTATAGACATTCCCGTAGCCATACCTATCCAATATTGATAGCCAATATACATGAAGAGCATTAACTATGAATTATCATATACCAGAAGTTGTTAAAATTAATGGGGGAAAATAATATGAAGATAGAATGAAGAAGTGTGGGGTGGGGGTGAAGGCTGTAATTTTAAACAGTGTAGTTAGAGAAGGCTGAACTGTGAAGGTGCCACTTGAGGACAAACTTGAAGTTAAAGGAAGGAAGCAAGGCATGCAAAATGTCTGTAATGAAGTATGCTAGTGGAGGGGAGAAGAACTCAAATGTCCCATGGCAGGGATATATGTAGTACACTGCCATAACACTGAGAAAGCCAGTATAGCTACAATGGAAGGAAAGAATGGCAAGAGTTGGACTTAGGCAATTAACTGGAGACAAGATTGGATGAAGCCTCATAATGGAATGAGATGGAAGCCATTGGTTCTGAGATTCTGAGTAGAGGAATAGAATCTTTTGACTTAAGTATTGAAATGATCACTCTGAGTGCTTTGTCTAGAATTTATTAAGACCTTTTTAGAGACAGAGCAACCATAAATCAAACATAGCAACATCTTGAGAGTTTTTAATGGTCAAACACTGGCCTAGACTATCAGAAATAAATCCTTGGCTTATGTAAGAATGTGAACTGTTAAGACGTCACCCACAAATGCATCTCTTTCACTGGAATAAATATGATTTGTGTAAATTATGCACTATAAATGTGTAGATATTACATCTCTTTATATTTTAACATGTTGCTTGTGGAATCCTTAAGATAATGTATTTCCAAATGTTTATTTAGAAAAAATATCAGTGGCTATTATAGATTTCTTAAAGTGTAAAAGGGAATATTTGATTTCACTATGAGAGAGGACACTTCAATTCTTACCTCCAAAAATGTGGTGGACTAATGAGAGCACAGGAGAATTGAAACAGTAGATGAGCCATTTCAAAAACAATGTTCAAGGTAGATCAGTTGAAAAAGTGAGGCAGCAATAATTAGTGCTGCTCATTAATAATAAATTAAGTCATTTTACTTCACGAAAGAAATCTCAGTAGAGAAAAGATGTAGGTGTAACACAGGTCAAAAATTTAAGGAAGTTTATATAAAGGGTATGCGTATGTAAAGGGAAAAAAAAAACAGCTTTGCTTCTGAATGAACTTTGCCTTTAGCCTTGTTAGCTCCCCAGCCACCTTTGCTTTCTTTTTGACACCATCATTTAACTGCAACAAATCAAATTTGTCTGATAGCAACTGCTTGACAGGAACCATAAGTAACTGCCAGGAGGTCTGGCTGCAGCTGTTGCTGCCCTATAGCACACAGTTGTGCTGTGTCATTTGAATTTGTGCTTCGCTGCATCTTTAAAACATTTCTTCTACATAACCTGATTAAAGTTGTGTCCCGTCTGTTCACTTGACTGCCAATGCTTAAGAATCCTCCCGCTAGCACAGTCCACAAATTTTAACTCCAGTGGAAATATTTTCCCGGAAAGAAATACTTTGGAAAATAGACATTTCTAACAGTCTCATTTTATTAGCCCCCAGTATTTGATCGCCAATATCTGAGCACCTCTGTTGACTCATTTTGCCTCTTATGAAGCTTTTATTCAAGGAAGCACTCTGATCATTTCTTTGTTATACCCCCCGCCCCCCATGCAGAGTTTGTAAAATTTTGATTCACACTCTTTGTATGGTCTTCTAAAGGGTCCTCCAGCAGCTTCGTGGAGTCCCAGTATATGTTCTCAACAAGGCTATCAACTTCCTCGAGGAAGATTGCAATATTCACAAAATAAATGGGTAGTTGGGTATATATTAGGGAAACTTGGGAAATGACTTTGTCATGTATGTATCATCCACTTTCT